CTGTGTCTTTCAAAGTACAATTTATCCTTTTCTTTGCTTCTTTAAATTCACTAACTGTTAGTTTTAGTTCATCTTGCCATTTGAATGACAAGATATTCAGAGATCTTCAAGTGAATCTCTTTTTCCGTGAAAATTTTTCCTTCTCTTTGCTCATTGAATGTTATTGTTCATCACGGGCATCATCAGGGTTATCATGAAGAGAAATTTATCTCCAAATCTTTACTGTCATCTTTGTTCATCTTTTCTGGTTCCTTTTTTTCGTCTCTTTTTTTCACTTGACATCTTTTTGGTACATAAATTGTATGCACATTATAATATTAAATATGAATTGCTTTTCATCATCTATTGTAATCTCTTTTCTTTCCGTCTTTTCCTTTCAATTATTTTTTGCCTGATTGATGTGACCTCTTCTTGCTGGCTTATGGTGGTGATGTTGTTGGGTGAAGATGATTGTTCAATATCTGAGAAATGAATGAGAAAAAATATCAATCCAATTGATGGTGAATTAAATGGTTGGATAACTTTGAGACGCGCGTGACACGAGATTTTGTTCAAATGATAGGAAAACTGATCAACCTTATATGAGTGTGTCGACAAATTATGTTAAACATTGAGCTTGATATGAGAAAGGGCACATTTCATTGGGATTATGAATTAATGATTAGAGTTATTGAGTTATTTAGGGAAAAGCTATTGTTCCGTGATTAAAATGGTGAAAATGAGGAGCAAATGAATAATAAAATGTCTGCTTTTTTTGTTAACTGACAAAATAATCCCTGTTTTGATGGTGAAAATTGGCAAAAATTTGGATTAATAATGAAAGTGATGTATTCTTTTTACTTGTTTGCCATCAAAAGTCAATAGACAAAGTGGTTTGACAGTTAAATGGTCAAATTTCAATGGAAATGGTTTGTTGATGGAAACAATTTCACGCTTTAAATCAAATATTATTCTTAAAATTGTCTTATTCATGAAACATTTTTTATAAAGTCAATTCTCATTGAGAAGATCAAAATTCATAGTGCAAAAATGAATCTTTATTTTCATGCCTCAATCCTATTCCAGAATCATTTGGTCAAATTAAATCCTATGCAAAACATACGATCTTTTCAGCTAAGAGTATCTCTTAGGTATCAAAATTATAATTATAATAGATCGACCAAAGATCATCAATTTGACCATTCAATGGTAATTGTAGAGCTAAAAGTGGCTGGTAAAAGATTATTGTTGCTAAAAAGACACATTTGTTACATTTATGCACAAATTGAGAGAAGCACTGAAAACAAATGGTCAAAAACGAGTAAACATTAGTTTAGTTTAAAATTAAACTCTGTTGACCTGTAGAGAAATGAAAATTGAATTTATCTGTGTGATTAAAAAGTTCTTCTGATCAATATTTTTCGAGCAAATCGCGTTCAAACTTTAAACTTCGATCGCTTTTTACACCTTGATGGAAGCAGATACGTTCATCAAACTCATTTTGCATCTGTACATTTTGATGGGCAACCAGAAAACGCTCTTATTTTGAAAGATTAAACTTTTGTTTTTCTTTGAAACAGATCAGAGCGATTTTTGTTTAAACCGATCTCATTCTGTAACCTAAAGATTTAGTGAGCTGAAACTTGATATTCAGTTATAAAAATTGTTTGTACATTTCATAGATTGAATCATTTTTTCAACAAATCGATAGTTATCTTAATTTTGGACATTAACCCAAAAACTTTGAAGTTCGATATTTCGAGGATGGCGTCACCTACAATAATCATTCTTAACCCAAACATTAGATTCTACTATGGGCTATAACATGATAGAACTGAAAACCAAAGAAATCTGAGCAAATTCATTAAATAATGAATATTATTCTTGACTTCATAAGTACCCATTTATCTTTTTTAATCAAGTATCAAATCTGGTAACATGAATGAAACAATGCTATAACTTTTTATGCAGAATCTTGAATAATTTAGTATTTCGTTACATTATACTAAGTAATAGAATCTAATGTTTGGCTAAAGAGTGGTGATCGTAAGTTATGCCACCATCGAGATATCGAGGCTCAAAGTTTTTAGGTTAAAGGCCAAAATTAAGAGAAACTATCGATTTATTGAAAAAATGATTCAATCTATGATGTGTACAAAAGATTTTTATGGCTGAATAATAAGTTTCAGATCACTAAATCTTCAGGTCACAGAAAGAGATCGGTTTAAATTAAAATCGAACTGACCTGTTTTACTGAAAAATAAAAGTTTTATGTCACAAAATAAGTGCGTTCTCTGATTGTCCATCAAAAGTTACATATGCAATATGAGTTTCATGAGTGTATCTGCTTCCATCAAGGTGTAAAAAGCGATCGAAGTTTAAAGTTTGAACGCGATTTGCTCGAAAAATATTGATCAGAGAAACTTTTTAATCGCACAAATAAATTCAGGTTTCATTTCTCTACAAGCCAACAGAGTTTAAATTTCAACTAAACTAATTTTTACCCGTTTTTGAACATTTGTTTTCAGTACTTGTTTCAATTTGTGCATAAAATGTGTTAGTGTGTCTTTTTAGCAACAACAGTAAAATATATTAACATTGCATTAGTCATTTTAAGCGAAGGTTTTCTTTCATCCTTATATTGATTCCGCAAAGTCGCTAGATTTTATTTCCTGAACTTTTCATTATGAATACTGGCCTTTTCAATGGGAATTGGCTGCAAAGCAACTTTAAATTGTCTGATCATTTGAGTGGATTTCAAAATCTAATAGAACCAGATTTTTAAGGTAAACCTAACAATTGTTGGATTATTTTGATTGTTTACAAGGTTCATGATAGCCTTCAATATGATACGTGAATGCAGGGCAGAGTTTTCAGGTGCATGATAATAACAGGAAAAGATGGAAGGAATAAAAGCGAAGTAAATTAGAGAAAAGAAGATTAGTTAACAATACAGAAGTTGTATTCTTGTGAATGAAGATGCTGATGATGAGATTGATAATGACGATGAGGTGGCTTGTTTCAGTACAAAGCAACCTTTAAATGGATCTTGTCTTGTGGTTTACTCTATGGATGGAGAAGCTGGAAGTAATACATTTCTTATATAATTACATTGACTGGTTGGTCGATGAAAACTGGCTCGTGTTGATCATCATTATAATCATCTCTTTATCTGATCTTCCTTCATCTTCTCCTCCCAAAGTCTAAATTTATCCAACCTCTTTAAGCGCAGTGATACAGCCAACAAAAAACACACAGTTTTACATGCCGTTGATTGGTATGCCTTTGGGAGGTGAACTGATCATAAACAGAGGGATAAAGTTGATGTCAGGGACAGAAGAGGAATAAGGTTTAAAAGTGAAGACAGAGATGAGCATTATGACTTTAAGATGATGATGATGATGAGGAGGAGAGGAAGATGAGCGTAAAATTGGATCAGTTAGTCTTATGAAAATTGTTGGACCCTTTTCCCATTCATGCCATTCACCCATTTTACCCAAAGAGGAAAAATGAAAGTCAATATATTGAGGGCATCCAAAAATACTTAAGTAGGGATAACTTTCCAATGAGATTAATTCAGTTGGTTATTTGCGGAATCAACTTGAAATAATCCCAAAAGTTTTCTCGATATTAAATAAATTTTCAAGTTTCTCCTAAACCTAATCAACTGATCAAAAGTACCAGAAAGTTGCCACTTTGAAGATTATCAAAACAATCCAAGCTCTAGATGAGCGACAACTTGAAAGTCGCGATTCTTTTGGACTGTGATTCTGACAATAATCTGGTCTTAGAATTTTTTCTTTTCATTTCAACTTTTCTCAGTGAAAAAGAAACGCAAAAATATACAATAAAGATGCTTTTTTATGGATCTTTCAATGTCTCCTTTTTTGCTCATCTCACAGTCTTTAACAAAATGGAGATGACAAGTATGATAAATATGATGATGATGATGAAGAAGAATAAGAGATTTCCTTTTATTTATTTTTCCAACAGTTTTTGGAGTTGTTGTTGTTGATTTGATTCCATAGTTTCTCTCTTCCTCCTACTTTGATTCCTTTGCATCTCATCATCTGAATAAACTGTACAACTGTGAAGTCAAAGTCAAAGACTGTATTCACCAAAGTACCAAGGTGGAGTCCATTCATTTCTTCATCATTTTGTCTTCATCATCATCACCACCAGCAGCAGCAAATCGCATTACAAGATTTGTCTTTTTCTCAAAATTTCCTACTCGAGTAAAAAAACATTTTGTTCACATCTTCCATCCAATATCAGTTTGACTGTACTTTGTTTATTTTGCATTATGTCTTCCTTTTTCTTCCTTTTTTTGGCCAATTTCAATTTTCCTTCTACACAATCTGAGCTATTTTTCAGGGGAAAATATCATTCATCTGGATTCCAAAGTCATCTTACCTATCATGTTTTTGCGTTTCCCTCGTTTCAGCCTTTTTTGTCAGCTTGAGTCTGAAAATGAGAGCAAAAGAAAAGGTGAAATATTAAATTGAAAAATGAATTACATGGAACAATAAAGTATAAAATATTGTAATATTACGTAGGATTCAGGAATGGTAAAAGTAAATAAACAAAAAATCTAATGCAAATGAGTTCACAGCATTTAACATTGAAATTATACAAATACAGTTTTGAACAATATTTGCATTTTGATAGCAACTTCATGCAGAGCAGATCACTCATCGTATTATAAGAATAAAATTGATGAGATAATATGAAAGAAAAATTAAAGCAAAGATTAACTAAGTCACAGTAAATTGCTCCTTGTTAATTGTTAAGATGAAAAGTAAACTGAAAGCAGCCAAATACAAATTAGTTAACAAATGAAGCTTCACAAAGTCGACTAAGTTGAGTTATAAAATGGTTGATATGGGCAATTAAACAGACTCATATTTACATGTTTTCATTAATATTAACCAAAATGAACAATAAAAGTCGTAATTATCCAACAGATAGTTAGGAATTAAGATCGCAATAACATCTTGAAATAGTGAAGAAGAAAAAGTTTAATTTTCAATTTAAAATTTTTAATGCAAATGTTTGCTTTTTAATGTATACAATGTATACTTTTGATTGTTTAGGCTGATTTTTCAACATCTGCTAAACCATTGCAAACATAGTCCAATGCCTTTTCAATTTTGTTGGCATGGCTGCTCTTAGCATTGGCCAAGGTGTTGATTAAAGCATCAGCAATTTCATCAGAGGATTTGGCTGAACCCATTGATTCGAACAGTTTACCGGTTGAATCGATGTTGGCCAAGATGTCTTTTACATGAGTCAATGGTTCAAACATACCACCAGTCATTTTGTCCAATTGTTCAAGAGCTGAGGTAACAGTCTCAAGATTGCCAACCATTGATTTAAGTTGGGGATCGTTCATGGCATTGTCAAGGAATGGCTTGATAAGGGCGATTAAAGCACCAAGGTCTGATTTTTGGACGGCGTTGAACATGGATTGAACCTTTTCGGTGAGCAAAGATGCTCTGGATGCGACGAAATTGAAAGCACCACCAACTGAGAAGGCACGCGATTTAATCTGTTGGTTAACCATCTTTTCAAGTTTGTTCAAGTCTGATCGGACAACATCAATGTGACTTTGTAACATGTTTTTGGTTGCTTCATCTTTGCCTGACATTTGGGAAAGGGCCAAGCCAACGGTGTCAATGGCTTCTGAAACGGCATCGGCTGCGGCTTTGTTGTTCTTTTGGGAAGCTTCGACCAACATGTCATCCAATTTGTCCAAGAGCTCGCTGTTTGATGAACATCCAACGTAAGCTGTAAGGTAAAGTAAAAATGGTAAGCAATGAGAAAGTTATGATATTTAATTGGAAGTAAAATATTAGATTGAGATTAACTTACCAGTTGAGACGAGAAGAGCTATCACAATTAAAAATGACTTCATCTTTTAATATTGATTACTGGTGCAATCTTGGTTTGTCTGTATTCTGGACTTAATGCCGATAATAATAACCATTTCACTTGATAATCAACCCATATTTTATACTGAAATCGAGAGAACTGTTTGCTTGGTTTCAGTTTCAATGTTTAGCACCTGTTTTAGTTTTAGCTCGTCGATTCCTTCAATCAAATTGACGAGTCGCAATGAACTTGGTGATTATTTGCAAAATAAAGTAATTTTCCAGTGTTGTTGAAAGCAAATTTTGACAATTTGTCATGACAATGAACTATTATCCTGTCTATATTATCTATCAACTATATTTCAATTCGCCTGATTAATGACGTCTTTTGGTTAAGAAATTTTAGATTTACAGAAGTTAATACATTTATTTAGGTAAATTATCAATTCTAATTAGCCAAGGAATGAAAATCAATCTCAAGATGGTTTATTAATTGAACAAATACATTGTTATCCCATCAATTCCGTGATATTATTTTGACATTAAAATTATTAGATTGACAGACCAGACTGGTTGCATCAATACGTTTACAAAGTGGAAAGATTTACGTAGCTATGCGATTCGCAAAATAAAATTCAGTTTCTTGTTTTGCAAACAATATAAATATGATCAGATGCTCTTGATTTTATTTTAATTGGTGTTTAAACATTGTCACTTTAGATCCATCGAGTAAAGCTTGAACAGAAATCATGAAAGTTACAATTACCATCATCACTGTCGTTGCTTTTGCAACATTGACCAGCGCAGGTAAGTCAAGTCTCACTCAAGTCTAACTAAATAATAACCTGATCTTTAAAGCAATTGCGATCGAGATCTATTTTTCAATTATCCTGTCATGATTTATGTCTAATCTTTTTTCACTTTACTTTTTTGACTGAAGCTTCAAATGAATTTGAACAACGTCTTTCAAGTTTACAATCAACCCTTTCCTCAGCTTGGGAAAAGGCCTCTAACAATGGAAATGCAGGAAAATTGATCAACCAAGCTCTTAAGACACTCAAGACCGCTTCCTTGGCTGGTGAATCTGATGCTGCTAAAAAAGCTATCGCTCGAATTGAAAGACTCGTCCCTTCTCTCGATAACTTGATCAACAATGGTCCTTCTACTAGAGCAAGCTTAGTCTCAACTATGGCTTCTTTGGTTGGTGAACGAAAAGAACTCATTGGTTCTCTTTTAGACCAAACTTCAAACAAGATGGACAAAGGAGGTAACGGACCTTGGGGACTTATCCTTAAGGTTGCTGGCGATTTTGTCCGAAACCAATTATTAGCCGATGAAAATATCCGAAACATGACTTATAAAGCAGCTGATACTTTGGACATGATTGAAGACGCTGTTGCCCTTCTCAACAATTTCTCAGGTGGTATGAATCCAATGTTGAACATGGTTGCCAGTGCCGTTGAAACTTTAGATGCTGCTTCAGACACTCTTCTTAATCGTGAAAAGGACGATGACTCCAAGAACATCATTGTTTCAAAGGTTATCTCTATGCTTTACAAGGTGAAAAACACTCAAAACCAAGCTTCTTATGATGCTATCAACAAGGTATGCGCCAAATTACATACCGCTCAAGATAAATCAAATTAATTCAAGATTAATTGATTCAACACCTATCATAATTATTAAAATAAAAGCTATTCATAGTTACATCACGTTTCAATTTCTTAACTTTATAATGAAGTTAAATATGTAAAATGTATATCGCCAATATTAAGCATTTTTGCGTCTATTATTGGTTTCAGATGGCTATCAAAATCAACTTTCAGTTCGTAAATATTATATAATATAACATGATTATTCATACTTCACTCGGAACACACACAGAAAAAAATCTCAACCCATTTCAAGTCCACAGCTATTAATTAATAACAAATGAGCTAAATAGACACAAAAGAGGCAAAAAAGCTGGAAAATCCTTGTTGGTAAATTGATTGACCATATCCATTATTTTCGTCAAATCGTACAGACAACTTAATCATTTTAAAAAATGATAGCAAACATCAATAAATAGTTAATTAATTAAAAATAAACACAAAAGCTTATAATATTAATCCATATTTTATTGTTATCAAATAAAAGTTCATTGGAGGTAAAATACAATGTATTATAAAATTTGGAGTTATCCATTAGATGGCGCTTGAAGACTCTAACGAAAGTAAATAAGCTGGATGGAGTCAACTTGAAAATATCAAATATATGTTTGAGTGTGTCTTCAATTAAATTATTAAATTAACCTCATTTTTTAATTTGTGTTTAAATTTACATTTCAAATCTGTGTGCATCTACTGGCATCATCGCAAGAATCATCGAAGAAACTCTATGCTTAACAAAGAAAAGGCTCGGAAACAAAATAAAAACATCGGCATCTTCAATTCTGTGATAATGTGAACGCTAAATATCTAAGAATCACGAATGAATTTAATAGCTTATTCAACTGTTGAGCAACCACACAGTTTAATGTAAATGAATCTGAATATCATTATGAGTTTTACTAGGACTGCTGTAAAATGAAATTTTAATGTTTTTTCTGTCCATCTCTTAGCATGTATCATCAAAAATAGATTGTTTATTCATTTTTATCTTCTTTATTATTTAAGGTCACTCCTCATATTATACAGCAAAATTAAATTAACTATTGATTATATTGAGGAAATTTTCTTGAGAAAAACTTGAAATTCCTTTTGTTTTATTAATAGCTTGCGTATATGAGCTCTGGAAAGATGTAAATTAGGTGAACAATGTTGATTTACATCTTTCTCTTCACAAGGATCATTAAGATTGCTCTTGCATTTTGAGTATTTCCTTTGTTTGTTTTGGGTAATAAATCACCAAAAACGACCAAAGTGACCAATTAATGACCTGTAACTAAAGAGAAAAACAAAAAGTAATGTTAACCTGAGGAGGAAACTGTTGAAAGGCGAAAGGAAAAGTGCGAGAAGTTAAATGATAAAAAACTGTGAGATTATTTGGATAACCTGATAACCAATGTGATCTATTTTATGGAGAGTTGGTTAACGTGTATAAAAAATCCAGTATCAACACCAGAATCAATGATCAATCTTCCCAATTCTTTTGGACAATTTTTTCTTTTCTTCTTTGTCTTGAGATCTTTTACTTGTCAGAACTGTCTTTTTTTCACCAACTCGAATACACATATATGTAAAGCGTAATCAATAATCGATTATTGTGATGTTGATTTCGTTTGCTCAAGTGAGCCTCTGATCAATTATGAAAGTTAGTATGGAGGTCCTATTGGTATAGTTATTTTCAAAGATGGCTTGAAATTTAGGATGAATAAATTGGTGGAAAAGGCTGCAATGATAATACTCCTGACTATGATGGTGAAAAAACGTGAAACCAGTCAAAATGAGAAAAAAAGTTGAATCTTTTTTGTCCTCTTCTTTTGATAGGAAACCAATTTCTCCTTGTAAATATAATGTATTTCCTTTTGTAGCTCATTTATCCATTCAAATAATCTAGAATGAAAAGTAGAAAAAAAGAGAATTTTTTAGTGATTTTGCATTTTAGTGATTTGGTTTTAAACTTGGTCTGGTTACGGGTTTACGGAAGAGAAACAAGGTTAAGTTGATTTGATTGGTAGGTAAATTTTTTATAAGTAGGGGGAAGTAAGATGGAAACTATTTCGATGATGATTCAGAAAAAAAGGATACAAAACAGAGCAAAATGGTGAAACTGCTGTTGTATCTTTGATGATGAGAAGGAGAAAAGATGAAATTGAATGTCAGAAGGTTTTTTTAAATTCAACTTTTGTTATTATTCATGGGAAGATGAGAAAAAAGAAGGAGAAAAAAAAGATATGTAAACAACCATGAAGATAGATGAATGAATGAATATAACTATGATGCTTGAAGATTGAAGGTTCCTATTTCTTTCTTTTTTTTCGTTCAACTGATTTGAAGAGCAGACTTTTCCTTGTTCCTATCAGCAATACACATAAAGTTTCAATTTCAATGTAACCAATATCTCGTTTCTATTTCGTTTTCCACCTTTGAAACTATTACCAATGAATACTATTTCTCTTTACTCCTTTTCCAGTGCTTTACCTTTTTCTTTTCCTCCTTTCTTCCTTATCCTTCATGAATTGAATCAGGTTAACAATCAGCAAGAGAAACCAGTTTGACAATTGAAGCTTCAATTTCTATGGTATTGTACATAGTTATCAATCAGTGTATGAGAATAAGGCAGTTGTAATATTGTCTCGGGCTTTTCAGAATAACCAGCACAGTGAAGTTTCAAATCGAGTAGATGTTGAGGAAGAATGAACTTCTTAACCACCTTCCCCAATTGAGCCTGAAATGAAGAAAAGAAGAGAAAGTAAATATAAAAAAACAAGAAAAGTAAAGGATTATGAACAGATAAGTTGAAAAAATAAATGCGATGTTAGATGAGAGAAATAATGTGAGAAAATGAACAGAATAAGTTAGATGATTTAATATTAACAAGCAGGGGAAAAGGAAGAGACTAGAGACACTTATTAAATGAAAATTGGATAATAAAACATGAGATGTTGAAAATTAAATTAACTTTCGTGAATTGGTTGCAAATAAACAACAGTCTACAACAGTGTATACACAAGACTTACAGTAAATTGAATTGCAATGCATCCTATCTTATATCATATAAACTCTGATTGCTTGTACACAACACTTGAAATATTTAAGAGTAAACTGAGAGATTTGAAAATTGAATTCAAATTGACATGAACCAATAGATAATTCACAATTTAAAATTTGGTAAAAACAATTAGATAAAATAATTAACAAGACAATGATGATTAACGAGTTGTTAATAACGACAAGCTCAGCCAAGTAAACAATTATCGCTTTTTTTCAATCAATTGATCTGTGAAAATAGATCTCTTGTGAAGCTATTTTCACTTAATAAGTTTCCCTCGCCCTCTAATTGGTAAACAATGAACCATTTATGTAATGTTAACAATAATTATTGACTGTTTAACCAATTAATTTTAAGTGATTTAACGAAACAACTATTCTTATATTGTGTGTGCTTATAAATTAATGATGATTAATTTGCCACTGGAACAATTAATAGTTCCATGTCCATGATTTGTGTGAATGAATTATTGATAGTTAACGTTCTAGTTTTGTTTTTGAGATGAAAGGAAATGACTGTGAATCCATGGATCATCAGTGGCAATTAATCGATTAATTAACATTAATTGTTTCTGTCTTCACGGTTTATGATTTTATTATTGTTCCAGTTTCATTCTGTGGTCTTGTGAGCTCAGCTAAGTTGTTTGGTTGCTGCATTGTAGGATTGTTGGTTGGTACAAGAAAAGGGTGAACATTCATAACATATTTAACCAGTTTTAAGTGAATGTTTTTGATTAATGATAACTGATACAAAATGTATTTCAACCCACAAACCTGTGTAAAAATGGTAATTAACACACAATCAATCCATTTTTCTGTTATAATTAATTTATTTTCCTACTCTTTCTCATTTCTATTAGATGTAACAAAACTGGCATGTCAGTTGGCTATCTCTAAAGGGAATTGATGTGACCATTTATTTTGTCCCTCTTTATTTATATTTTGCTGGACAAATTTACAAACACTAATGACCATCTTCAGTGTAATTTTATATTGTTTATCTAATTATCTAGTTAACATGGACATTGACTGAGCAACAACGGATCAGAGTACCGATTTCTCGACGTTAATTGGATAAGTAGAGCTATTATTAAACATGGTGTAATCTGAGCTAATTACAATAGAAAATTGATAATCAAAAGTTCAGAATCTTAACAAAAAAGTGAGTATTTTCATTGTAAATCTAGTTAATCTTAAGTCAACATGTAAACATATTCACCAGCTTCATGTTTTCGCGTTAAAACTCAGCAGCTAAAACAGATGAGCGTTTAATTTCACCATTTGCAATGTTTTTATGATCGCGACTCGTGTTGGATCATTTTTCATTTGTTGATGAGCTTTTAAGACGTTAACATTAAATTGATATTTATTTGTTTAATGATAATTTATTTCATTCTATTTAAGTTAACTGTATTAGGTTTGTTTACATGTTTTCAATGGTCATGGTACATTGGACGATGCCGGATGTTGTCATGGAGTATTTAGTGGGTTTCAAATGGCAGAATTCATTTCCTGTCTTATGATATTAAGTAAAATGGCTGAGGTAGTTTACAGAAAGCGAATTACATGTATATTCCATGGATTCCAATTGTGATCTCCTCTCAAGTATTACAACAACAGCAACCAAAAGACCAATAATCTAATAAAGAATGGAGTGAAAAAAGTCAAAGTATCAACTGTCAGATTAGACAATTGGTAATGTTTGTTGTTGTATTGGTATTTATGGAGCTTGTGATAACCATTACAGAAAGACCAGAGGAAGATTCAGCCTACAATTGGACGAGAATGAAACAAGGAAAAAAAGAGAAAGAAAATGGTCTAGTTTGATAATCCATTTTGGTATCATTAACACGAAATGAAGAAGAATACAGTTGCTGGAAAATAAAAGGGACAAGAAAATAGCCTTAACCTGAATGCAATGAAAGATTGTAATAAACAACAAAAGTCTCCCAAAAATTGTGATAAGCAGCAAATAATGCTCAAAGATGATGATGGTGATGGGAAATTTCGCTATCCATTCTAAAATTGTCTCGGAGTAAACAATGGCAGCAATGGTCTTCAACAAAACTGCTTGAAGGCTAAATCTGATGTACATTTTGGACCTGTCAAATCAAATTATTGTACATATCACAATGGATGGATATAAGTTAAATTTAAGGCTATTTGGACCAGTTTCTGTGTTGTTTATCCAACCAAAAGCAAGCTATTTGATGATTGCTCAGACTTGATTAACATTTCATTTCATCTTCTCATATTGATCCAATATTTTGAATGAATATCTCTTAATATACGAATTATATTTCAACAAGATATGATTGCAATTTGAAAAGAGGATCAACTTTTATTATTAATAATGGTAGTGTAAATGAGCGTAATCAGAATCTAAATCGACTTCTTGAAACAATAGAAGCAAGAAATTGTCTGAATACTTGATAAAATGATCATTACCAGACTCACAAATTGTCAGATTTAGGAAAGATGCAGAAAAGTATCAGATATCAAAGAAATGGAATCAATTTCAAATGGTTAATTCAACATTTGTAAAATATTGATTGATTTCTGACTGTAATTCACTGTTCTCACTGAATCAATCAACCAATCAAAATGGAAACATTTCCAGTATTTCAATCTATTTATCCTAAATTTCAATCAACTTTACTCAATTTGCTTCAAAGTGTGAATCATTTTTTGTTAACCTAAATTGGCAAGAAAACATATTTTTTCAAATCAATCAACAAAATTTTTCATCTCACGCAATGAACTTTAGATGTTACAGGCGTATATAATGATGAACATGTAATATCTTGAAAAGAGTGAAACAAAATCTTATTAACAAATCACGTCAAATTACATTAACACAAATGTAGCAAAATGATAATGACTATGATTATGATGATGATGATGATGATCTAGATGAGGGAAGAAAATTGTAACTACTCGATTATGTTAAATGAATAATTTGCCTAATACATTAGTTTATTTACCCACACGATGGTGTTGATCGTTTCTCCTTTCATCAGCAAAAATGCATCAACAAAATATTTTAAAGACATAATGTAATGATTCAATTAACGTCGATCAACTGAGATTTTTGCTTTCAAATTTTTCGCTTTTCATCCTTCTGTTCATCAACAATCTTCATGATTACTCTTCTCGCCTAAAACTATCATTACCATCATTACCTTTAATATTCAAATTGAACCTTTTCTTGTATCAATCATCAAGACTATACTAGGAAAAATTGTGATCAACATCAACCAACATATCAACTAAAACTTAGCATAAAAATTGTCATCTCATAACTAACCTTTTGTTGTCTCCAAAAGATTTATCGTAAATTTTCATTCGTTTCAGTCTTATTACAGTATTTGATCCGCAAATTTGTTAGTTAATTGATTTTTCAAAGCAAAGCAAACTTAATAAATGTTTTGAATGAATGAAATGTAAACCTTTTGTTTGCAATATTGAATAACTGAAGAAGCAGTTGAAGAAGAAGAAGAAACCAGTGTTGACACCGCCGTAACATCGCTTCCGCAAAAGCAACAGAAGTGGTGTTAGCGTGGTGTGAACCCTGGTTTTATACGCTACTGTTAATAATTAAAACGCAATGGATATCAACAATCGGTGTGGACATATCTGATCAACATATTATCTTGAACTTAATGTTATCACATTACTTGATATTGATTTTCCCGATCTGTTCACCGTTCCTGTGTGTACAGTTTGTAGAGGCAGTCAACTGCCAAATATTAAATGTTAGTCTAAAATTGTGTGTTGCAGTAAATCTAGTTAATCTCAAAATGATAACCCAAAAGTCCCAAATTTTGTCAGTCATTAAACTGACTTGATGCTGGTTGCAAGTGGCTCTTCAATTGAGGACTTTTGGTCTTCATTGATTGTCTTTCCGATGCTATTATAAAACAGTGAAAAGGCTGATGTTTTTCATGTCAGAGGATAACTAACAACGAAAGTAGTCAATTGAAAGGATAAGTGGCTATGTATTCAATTGTAATTGATTGAATGATTGAATTGATGGTCTAACTGGTTAGTTAATAAACCAACCAACCATCAAGTCTCAATGCAATAATCAAAGTAAAAGAATGCCGAACATAAAGAGAAAGAAAGAAAAGGCAAGAATGATTATATTTTGTTTGTTGCAATTTATGAACCATACAGAGAAACAGTTAATTGCTAATGACATAGTAAATCAATGATTATACTTTATCCATTTCTGCCTTTTACTTCTCTCTCTCAATCAGTTTAATTTTCATTTGCAAAAACAGCAGCCAGTTCATTTCCCATTGCCCATCAATATCACCTTATGCCTTCCAATTTTTACCTCTCTCATGGCAAACTCAGTCCTTAACACCACCTTCAATCTCCCACTTTTATTACCTAAACTAACGATTATTAATTTTACTTTTCTCACCCAACAGATTGACTCTCCTTCTAATTGATACAATATACAAAATAGCCTGGACTTGCCTTGAATTATAAAAACAAATGCTGATGACCAATGTGATTTACTCATGCAATCATTTGTAAATTAAGGTTGTGCCATGAGAATGTATCACTTTACCTGAGCAAACTTGCAACTGAAAACTGTTACCATTAGTAATATTTTCATTATCAGTAGAGAGAAAAATTGAAAACATTTGCCTTTTGTTGATGAAAGTCGTTAAAGTCCAATATCTATGGGTGACTCAATGTGGATAAAATTTCCGATTTAAAAGCCATTTTTGAAGGATGCTATCCAAAAATCACTGTTGTATTGACAACAGTTTTTTTGATAATCTCATTGATGCTCTTAACAACATTACACAAGCCATTGGATTAGTATTGAGCTGTAGCTGGAGTAGGACGCATTTTGGGATGTTTGTTACACGAAATGGAAGACAGAAGCAAACTTGCTTCAGAAATGGTTAGGAATCAACAAAAGAATTAACTCGAACACCAAGAAAGTTGGTTAAATTGATTGTGATTCTCTTTTATCCAGTCTTTTATTTTTTCAAATCATCTATTGATGTTCTTCACTTTTCCTTTTCACTCTCTTAACCATTGGAAATGCTGATTGGCAAAAGGAAAGAAAAGCTCGAGATATTTTGCTCTTCCAGTCCATTAATTCGATAAATAGGGCGAGTTCGAAGAATTGGTAAATGGTGATGATGAAGACGAAGAAGAGTGATCTTGTTTAGCGATTCAATGGTGATTACATGGAGACTACAATTTTATAGCTGCACAATCATTTATCTGAAAGCAGAGGAAAACAAAGGCAGATATTGAAACTGTATTAACACAAGTAAATTGGTTGCTTAGCGATCACATAGCTTTTAAAATTGCGTATTTTTGTGTGTATTTTGTGAGTAACATCATCATAATGATCATTATTTTTCCTTCTATTGTTGTTATCATTATTGTCACCGGAGAGAGGAATAAAAAAGAGGCCTTAATCGGTATTCAATTTAAATATAATTCACCCTGTAAAATGTATTTCTGTAAAGGTCATTACTTTTGATGATGGTAACAAAGATCATCCTAATCTGGTCTAAATCAAAGCATTTACTGTTATTTAACTTAAATGACTGTCGATTGAGAGTAAACTAGGTTTACTGGAAACAGTGCAGTTTGCTAAGCAATTTGAAAATTTGAAAATTTAAATCATAAAATTTTAATGTGCGTTGATGCTGTCGAAAGACGTTTTTATTTGAAAAGGCAGAAACTCAAGCATTCGAGTTAAGTTTCAAGCCTTACAGGGTTTGTAGAAGCATAAAAATTTATTATATTAGCTATTAAATTATTTCTCCGATAATTTTCGAGAGAGTCGAGGTGAAAGTTGAAAAAGCAAAATATCTAATGAACCCTATTTAGATTAATCATTAAATATACATTAATGCGTTAAAATTTATATGTTTGCATGTTCAACTTATTGATCAGATTTTGAATATGTATTTGACGTGAAACGGATTTTATATGCAAATTTTTCATAATAAAATGTTTATCAATCTCGTTGTAGTCTCAAGTCGACATCTGAATAGTTTGATTTGGAAGAACAGAAAATCTTACTTTGGTGCAGAAATGTTTCTATTGAAAAAATTATTCACACTTCTCTGTATAATTGTGTGTTCATATCAGTTGTACTTCACAACAATAGATTATCTTGAATTTAATGTTATCACATTACTTGATATCGATTTTCCCGATTGGCTTACCGTTCCTGATATAACATTATGTGTACAGTTCTTAGATGCAGTCAACTGGACCGCGTGGGCAATTCGCCATCCAGATTTGTTGCCAGACAATTGTTCGATCATAGACGACGACAAGGAAAGATCAGAACATATTCGTGAATGTTTCGCCGAGATGGGAGCAGACGATTTCGAAGGATTTGTCCAGGAACATTTTACTGTTGCTAAATTTTACAAACTAGTAATAAAAGCTCAATCACTATTCGATTTGATCTCATTTGACAGTAAAACGGGAAGTTTTAACGGTTTACAAAAAAATCACGATATATTTTGTACAACTAGGACTTATCTTAGAGATCCTCATGTTTGTTATCATCTTGCTTGTCGTAATGGTACCAATCCATCGGATGATATACGATTCCATAGAAGTAGATTGATACACTCGCCGAATCCTGGTGCAATGTTCATGTTTCGTTTATATAATGCATTCTTTGCGTCATGTGATCACGTTTTTCTTTACATCCACTCGCCGTTAGATTTACCGCGTGGACCTTTAGAATCTTATTTAGTCATCAAACCAAAAGAGAAACCGAGTTTATTTTTAATCAGTTTCATCTTGATAATAGACAATCTACTTGAGCCACCATATGCAACTAACTGTAAGGATTATCATCATGATGATGAAGGTACTCAATCACTAATACACAAATATGAGGAATGCTTGAATAATCAAACACTTAAATTGGATCCAAGTTTTGTTATGTATCAGACGATGATTGAGAATCCACAAAAAGTTGAAGGCAATTTTTCTAATAGATTAAGATATAAATATAAAGACAAACTCAACGAAATACGAACTGAATGTGGAAAGTTGGTGGAACAACCACAGTGCAAAGTCTTTATTTACATACCATATATCATAGGCCATGAGCGTTTCGTTTCTCAACGTGAATACCATAGCAATTTCATAATCATGGCTCCAACCACTCCTGATATAAAATTGGAAAAATCACCAGTTTTTCTTTTGGAGACTTATGTTGTCAACATTGGTTCCATTCTTGGTATTTGGTTTGGTTTCAGCATGGTCCATCATTTAGGTTCATTAGGGAGTCACTTATTAAAGCTAAAAAATATCAGCAAATTTTCGTGGAATAATATTTGTCTCCGTCATGAAAAACCACTAAAGAAATCAGTTTACTTAAATTGTGAACAAAAGAATCAAAAACAAAATACTGCTGAACGTCCAGCTATTGCGTATTACCGAACACATGGTTTATTAAGCCGAGCCAGAGCTGCTATTGCTGAAAGCCGTAAGATTAGTGAGTCGCGCTGTTCGCAGTCTATAAGATCGAGATATGTTACAGACATTATGTAATGATTGCATTAATGTAATAGATGAACTGTTAGTCGAGTTTTCTAATATTTTATTTAACCCATCCATAAAACGTGAAAAATACTAGATGCCCATTTTTTGATTAACGATCAATATTAGATGGAAACAAACTCATGTTTGCCCTCTTAGACTCGCTGACTGATTGAAATAATTGCCTAATGTGTCGCAAATAAAATTTATATAAATCAGGAACCCTTATATCATTTTGGTTGACCAAAAGTGTAAAGTCAAATAAAAATGCAAAAACTTTCATTAAACCAACGTTGGTTTTAAAGATTAAATTCTGAACAAGAACGAGGAATAAGAATGAACTTTGTATCGACAGTAAATAAGATGAACAAAATCAACTAGAGGCTAGAAAAGAGTCCAACCGAACAATGTCGATGATCAAAACGAAAAAGGCGAAGAATAAATCTTCTTTATACATTATTCTTCCTTTTTACTCTACTAACGGTATCGATATAAATCTGTGTGCATTATCATATGCTATCATATTGTTAGCAATTGAAACTAAATGAGCATCGCCAATCGGTGTGAAAATGTCTCATAAACATTATTTAGGTGAATCATTAAATACATTTAGAATTTTTTGTTTGCATGTCAACTTATTGATCAAATTTCAAATATATATTTGGCGTGAAACAACTATTGCCAGTAGCTTTTCATCATAACATTTTTGATTCAAAGAATTAATATGAGTTTAAAACAATTTTTACCAGACGTAACGTAGTCTGAACTTGATATTTAAGTAGTTTTTTTAAACGATTTGGTGCAAAAATGTTTATATTCAAAAAAATATTCACAATTTTCTGTATAATTGTATGTTCATATCAATTATACTTCACAACAATGGATTATCTTGAATACAATGTTATCACATTACTTGATATTGATTTTCCCGATTGGCTTACCGTTCCTGATATAACATTTTGTGTACAGTTTATGAATGCAGTCAACTGGACCGCTTGGGCAATTCACCATCCAAATCTATTACCTGATAAATGTACAATCATGGACGATGAGAAGGAAAACAGATCAGAACATATTCGTGCCTGTTTCGCTGAGATGGGAGCAGACGATTTCGAAGGATTTGTCGAGCAACATTTTACTGTGGCTAAATTTTACAAGATAATCATCAAAGCTGAATCAATAACAATAATTTACAATAAGACAGAATATTTCAATGGCTTAGAACAGAAACACGAGATATTTTGTGCAACTAAGACTTATCTGAAAGACCCTCATGTTTGTTATCATGTTGCCTGCCGTAATGCTACCAATTTATCCAATTTCGTACGATTTAATAGAAGTAGAGCGATACACGCGCCAACTCCTGGTACATTGTACTATTTAGACATATATAATGTCTTCTTCAAGGTATGGGACCAAATTTTTGTTTACATCCACTCGCCATTAGATTTGCCGCGTGGACCTTTTCAAACTTATACAGTTATCAAACCAAAAGAGAAACCGAGTTTATTTTTCATCAGTTATATCAAGATAATTGACAGTCTACTTGAGCCACCATATGCAACTAACTGTAGGAACTATCATGATGATGTTGAAGGTACCCGATCATTAATGCACAAGTATGAGCAATGTTTAAATAATCAAACACTTAGATTGGATCAGAGTTTTGTTATGTACCAGACGATAATCGAGAATCCACAAGAAATTGAAGCTAATTTTTCTAATAGATTGAGATATAAATATAAAGATAAACTCAACGAGATACGAGCTGAGTGTGAAAAATTGGTGGGACAACCAGAGTGCAAAAGCTTATATTACATACCTTATGTTATAGGCCATGAACGATTCCTTAACTTTCATTATAAACTTCCAAGTGTCTTCTTAATCATGGCTCCAACGAATCCTGACATAGAGCTGAAAAAGTCGCCAGCTTTGCTTTTGGAGACTTATGTAGTCAGCATTGGTTCCATACTCGGTATTTGGTTTGGTTTCAGTATGGTTCATCATCTAGGCTCATTAGGAAGTCACTTATCAAAGTTAAAAAATATCAGTAAACTTGTGTGGTATAATATTTATCATCGCTATGAAGGACTACTAAAAAAATCAGTCAACTCAAATTGTGAGCAAATGAATCAAAAACAAAAGACTGTCGATCTTCCAACTATTATATATTACCGAACACATCGTTTACGAGCCAGAGCTGATATCGGCGATAACCATAAGATTAGCTCAAACTAGAGAATCTAGAATAACAATAATCTCAAGGCCTCTTTGCTTCACCAAGCTTGTTCCTGAAAATAAATGCAACTTTTCATACTGTTTGCCCATTTTATTGAGTGATCATTACATCAATTGATTTACTTCGCAAGAAATATCTATTTTGGTTGTTGAAGTTAGTTTTAGTCCACTTTGAGTGAAAATTAAAATCAATATGAAAAACTTTCATCAGACCAACACTTTACCAACAGGTTAGAAAAAAGGCCAAATTCGAATAATGTCGATGATTTAAGCGGAAAAGGCGAAGAATAAATCTTCTTCGCATATTTTTCTTCTTTTTGTTACTTTCCTAATGGTTACCGTCAATACAAAAATGTACCATGCACTAATATTCATAATAAATTTATGGTCAACAATTAAAACTTAATGAACATCATCAATCGATGAATAATTGAAATATCTAATAAACCGTATTTAGGTGAATCATCAAATATATAGACAAAATTTTCACAAAAAATTGTCACAATTTTTAACAATTTTTTGTTTGCATGTACAATTTATTGATCAGATTTTATCATATTTAGCTTTTACGAGCAAATTTTCATACTGCATTTTTTGTTTCAAAGAACGAATTTGAGTTTAGTAAAATTTTCATCAATGAAGTCTCAACTTGATATCTGAATAGTTTCATTTTGACAAACAGAAATATTACTATTTTGTGCAAAATGTTTTTATTAGAAAAATTACTCACACTTTTTTGTATAATTGTGTGTTCATATCAGTTGTACCTAACAACAGTGGATTATCTTGAATACAATGTTGTCACATTGCTCGATATTGATTTTCCCGATTGGTTTACCGCTCCAGATGTAACACTGTGTGTACAGTTTATAGATGCAGTCAATTGGACCGCTTGGACAATTCACCATCCAGATTTGTTACCTGATAACTGTACAATCATAGACGACGACAAGGAAAACAGATCAAAACATATTCGTCAATGTTTCACCGAGATGGGAAAAGACGATTTCGAAGGATTTGTCGAGCGTCATTTTAATGTTGCTAAATTTTACAAGATAATCATCAAAGCTGAATCCTTATTCATTGATATAACATTTTACAATAAAACGGGATATTTCAATGGTTTGCAACGAAATCACGAGGTATTTTGTACAACTAGAACTTATCTTAGAGATCCTCATGTTTGCTATCATGTTGCCTGTCGTAATGGTACCAATCCATCGGATTACGCACGGTTCAATAGAAAAAGATTGATACACGCACCGAACCTTGGTATTTTGTACATTTTAGACTTACATAATGAAATCTTTCAGTTTTGGGACCACGTTTTTGTTTACATCCACTCACCGTTAGATTTACCGCGAGGACCAATTCATTCTTATACATTCGTTAAACCAAAAGAGAAACCGAGTTTATTTTTAATCAGTTTCGTCAGCATGAACGACAGTCTACTTGAGCCACCATATGCAACTAACTGTAGGAACTATCATGATGATGTTGAAGGTACCCGATCACTAATGCACAAGTATGAGAAATGCTTAAATAACCAAACACTTCAACTGAATCCGGGCTTTTTAATGTACCAGACGATGATTGAGAATCCACAAGAAGTTGAAGCCAATTTTTCTAATAGATTGAGATATAAATATAAAGATAAACTCAACGAAATACGAACTGAATGTGGAAAGTTGGTGGAACAACCAGAGTGCAAAAGCTTATATTTCATACCATATATCGTTGGGTATGAGCGATTCCTTATTGTTAATGAAAACATTCCAAGTATTTTTACAATTTTCGCTCCAACGAATCCTGATATAAAGTTGGTAAAGTCACCAGCTGTGCTTTTGGAGACTTACGTAGTCAACATTGGCTCCATCCTCGGTATTTGGTTCGGTTTCAGTATGGTGAATCTTTTAGGTTCGTTGGGGAATCACTTGTTAAAGTTAAAAAATATCAGCAACTTTGCTTGGTATAATATTTTACATCTTCATGAAGGACGCATGAAAGCAGTCAACTTAAATGGTGAACAAATGGATCAAAAACAAAATAATGTTGAACGTCCAACAATTATGTATTACCGAACATATGGTCTATCAAGTCGATTCAGGGCTGCTATTCCTGAAAGCCGTAGCATTATTGAATCGCGCCGCTCACAGTCCATCAGACCGGGATATTTTAAAGAAACAATGTAATGTTTCAATCAACGTCGATTAACTTTGATTTTTCTTTCAAGTTTTGCTTTTCATTTTTCTGTTGATCAACAATCTCTATGATTGAATTAAAACGAGAATAACTTTAAGGCCTTGTTACACTAACAAAGCAACCACGCGATTTACCTGAAGTCAATTCTAATTGGACAAATTTATTCGATAGAGAATGTGGAGTTTGGAAAACATTAATGAGCTTTACCTGTCCCAATCAACATATTTGAGTCAATGACGACTCAGAAAATGCGCCCTGTTTTACATGTTTTATTGGCTGGTTATCATATCAACTGATTCTCATCCAATTTCACAAGAAATATCTATTTCGGTTGTTTAAATTATTACTGGGTAGCCAAAAGTGCAAAGTCAAATCGAGAGGAAAAACTTTCGCGAAACCAAAGCTTGATTAAGTTGCGCTTATTCTGGCGAAGATCAAGGAATGATCTTGAACTTTATATCAATCTCTTACTCTTCTTCCACTCTAATTTAATCCCAACTCGTCTTAAATGTCTAAAAATGTACTCTACATAAGATCACAAGAGAATATTATCGGTATAAATCAGTTAACATTTATATTCATGATACAGCAAATATGGTAACAATTAAAACTTAATTAACATCACCAATCGGTGTGAAAATATCTAATGAACCTTATTTAGATTAATCAATAAATATATTAATACGTCAAATTTTTTGTTTGCATTTTCAAATTATTGATCAAATTTAAATACTTATTTGACGTGAAACGGCTTTTATGTGCAAAATTTTTTCAAAGAACGAATTGAGTTATATTTTATAGTTATTATATCTATTATTAGTTAAATTTTTGTCAATCTCAATAAAGTTTCAAATTGACATTTGAATAGCTATATCATGACAGAAAATCTTACTAATATTTAGTGCAAAATGTTTTTATTGAAAAAATTATTCACACTTCTCTGTATAATAGTATGTTCATATCAGTTGTACTTTACAACAGTGGATTATCTTGAATATAATGTTATCACATTACTTGATATTGATTTTCCCGATTGGCTTACCGCTCCTGATATAACATTTTGTGTGCAGTTTTTAGATGCAGTCAATTGGACGGCTTGGGCAATTCACCATCCAGATTTGTTACCTGATAACTGTACAATCATAGACGACGACAAGGGAAACAGATCAAAAGCTATTCGACAATGTTTCGCCGAGATGGGAGCAGACGATTTCGAAGCTTTTGTCGAACAACATTTTACTGTTGCTAAGTTTTACAAACTAGTAATCAAAGCTGATTCACTATTCAAGGATATCATAATTTACAATAAAACAGGAAATTTCAACGGTTTACAACGGAATCACGAGATATTTTGTACAACTAGGACTTATCATAGAGATCCTCATGTTTGCTATCATGTTGCTTGTCGTTATGGTACCAATTATTCGGATTATATACGATTCAATAGAAGTAGATTAATACACTCGCCAAATCCTGGTGCAATGTATCATGTAGATTTATATGATGAAATCTTCAAGTCATGGGATGACGTAATGTTTTACATCCACTCGCCGTTGGATTTACCTCGTGGACCTTTACAATCTTATACAGTCGTTAAACCGAAAGAGAAACCGAGTTTATTTTTAATCAGTTATATCAGGGTAATAGACAATCTACTTGAGCCACCATATGCAACTAACTGTAAGAATTATCATCATAATGTTGACGGTACTCGATCATTAATGC